ATCATACAGCCTTTGTTTTGATCGATCAGAAAGTTGGCTGTCTTATGTTTTCTAATTTGCCGTTTTAATTTACGAATTACATTTGAAATACGCTTTGCATTCTTCTATCAAAATTAATAACAAATTTTCAAACGTCATTCTTCAACTGAATTGGTCACGCAATTAAATCCCATCTGTATATTTTCCAACATTGACTTCGATTAATTAATTGATTAATTACCTTAAAGTATTCTTCTTCATACAGTAAATTATTATAATAAAGTCAACAATTTGAACCATGAACGTCGATTTTGAAACAAGAAACACCTTCCAAAAATAATAATCAGTCAAAGAAAACCTAAGATGATGAAATTGTGAAACGTCAGAGATCGTCGCACTTGAAAGAAAAATATTTACCGATTCGAGTCTGGACGAAATGCCCACCAGTGGGACAACGGTTTTGATACCCGTGGTGGGCAGAGTACGAATAGCTCTTTGTGCAGCTTTGTGTTTAATACAAACAACAACAACTGAACTCCCCTCGCTAAAGTCGAGACCCAGTAAATTATTTCTTACATGGACTGAAAACACAAAAAACTTCCAATATATGAATCAAACTAGCAACCTAGTGACTCAGCGTTAAGTCTGAGGGCTTATAACGCTTAAACTCTGATTTCAATACCCGCGAAGGCATAGTAAAGATATCTTGTGGTATACCATAGCACTTAACAACAAACAAACATATCGATAAGTATAATAAAGTTTATTAGTGCATTACATAAAACATTTCAATATTAACGCAAGGGGAACGTGTTGAATTTTTCATTCAAAAATACAGTTAAAATCTCCCAAAAGCAAAACCAAATTCTGATTCTTTGGTAAATATAAACAAAAAATATTATAGAAACATTACCCTTCTCAACTAATGTTAGGAGCATAGATACGACATATTACAGAATGATTGCTCTCGAAAACGAAACTATCCTCCCATTATTTCAAAACGATCTGATTAAAACAATTCGAATATTTTAGCTATTATATAAGATCGTCATTCCACATGCCCCTCGGTGGCTCAGCGGTAGGCATGAGCGCTTTTAATGCTAAAAATCGGTGTCCAATTCTCACGTTGGGCAAATAGCCCATCATTGTAGCATTGCGCTTAAATGCAAAACAAACAAACAAGCCATCCCCTTCTTCTCTTGGTTCAGTTGTTATAATATACTTACCCTTACCATAAGCTCCTCACAGCCGCAATAACAATTTCAATCCAAACAAACAACAAAATAAAAATTCGATGACGAGAAACCCACTTTGAGACTAATAATGCTTGGAGACGGCTTGAATGGGTAATGAAGAAAAACTTTAATATAAGTTTAACATAACAGCAAATTTTTCATTACCCATTCAAGCCGTCTCCAAACATTATTAAACTACAAAATATTAATTTGAGAGTACGTGAAAAAAAAAGCTTTAATTTCTTCAATCATTGAGTCTAATTTAACCACTTAATCATTTATATCAAAAATAAAATTTTGTATCCTTCTCATTCTTCTGTTTAATTTGGATTTTCATTCACCCACTTTTCACCTGTTTAATGTATCTTATATTAAAATCAAGTTCATTACAATCCATTACTATCAACCATAGTTGTGCATTCATGCACTTTCCCCTCAGAAGTTGACCCTGATTTGACCTACATCATTCAGGATCAACTTGACACATACACACCATTTACAGACTCAGCAGATTGAGTCTCCGACGATCCATTTAAACAGAACCAACCCTCTTCAGCACATGCCTATAACGTTTTCGGCAGTTTAATATTCATCTTATTCTTATCAATGTCACAAAAAATGTCATTCTTTGTAGAAACCAGTTTTGCTTCGCTTACTTTTTCCTGCTTAATTCTATCTTAGTATAACTATCAGCACAACTTGTGGACGCATGCTCTTACTGATTACAACAGCAACATATCAATTAAGGACAATCTCTGTACAGGTGTTCTTCAGAAAAATATCAATTGTAAATCTTGTGCTGATGGCCATGTTTCACTTTCTATCAGTTGAGGACAATCTCTGTACAGGTGTTCTTCAGAAAATTATCGATATGAATCTTGTGCTGGTGGTCATGTTTCACTTTCTATCAGTTGAGGACAATCTCTGTAAGGTGTTCTTCAGAAAATTATCGATATGAATCTTGTGCTGGTGGTCATGTTTCACTTTCTATCAGTTGAGGACAATCTCTGTATAGGTGTTCTTCAGAAAATTATCGATATGAATCTTGTGCTGGTGGTCATGTTTCACTTTCATAACAATGGAAGCCAATCTCTGTACAGGTATTCTTCAGAAAGACATGAATTGTAAATCTTGTGCTGATTATCATGTTTCACTTTCAGAAAAAAATAAAACTTTTTCAAGTGGCTTAAAAACTTTCGAAACATATTGTAAATAGGACATTGATGATGGAAACTAACCCTTACACTGCTCTCTTCCATATTATTGGTCTTTAAGTCCTAACAGGGCAGATGCTTTATCCATTTGAGCTACTATATCTTTCAGTTTTTCCTACGTTGAATGTTAAAAGCGAAATAAAGCATAATTCTTGAGGTATATAACGGTTTGTAAAAATTAAGAATCTGTTTTTCGCTATTTTTGATTGGAGTGCTGATATTTAGGTGGTTTAACTACAAAAAATATTTAACGTAATACTCCATCCTACGAAGCTGATATGGTAAGCTCCTGTTTCTTTATTTAAGATAACTTAATCATTGCTTATTGTTAAACCAGGTTAGCAGACTTTCAGTTTCTACCAGTGAACTCCATGCTTCATAATTTGAGATAGCTTAGCCATTGCTTATAGCTTGAATTGTGTTTATAAATATTATTTTTCTTTATTATAATAGTGATAAGAAACCTCTCATGTATTGAGATCTTATTGCATAAAGGGTTAAAAAATTTTAGCACGTGATGAGAACAAAAATATTCACTCAATTTCCTCTAAATGAATTGTGTCTTCTAATATTTTATAATTAGTTAATTATTATTACGTTTATTTTTATTTCCAAATCAAATTTATTTTCAAAAATTAAATTCGAGTAAACATTATCAAGTACAAAATGATCTTGATACGTTGAAACATCTGAGTGGATCAAACATGTTCTCCATCAATCTTTATTATCACTAAAGTCAGATAGTCTGCATGCTTCCTCAATCTAATGCTAACTGGTGTTAACATACAAAATGGCAGATGACGAGCTTTTGTATTTCACACTGCGCTTTAAAAACCTCATAAAGGCTTGCATACTTGTTTAGGCACAGAACAGACATGTAGGGCAGGATTAAAGCAAAGAGGTTGAGCCAAGAGATCCCAGGCACCTAGCCCCCTTCCAAAATACAGTAATAATAAACACAATAAAGGCACAGTTTATTGATAATTTATAGTTTGATCCATAAACATCTTGTTGCAACCATCAGAGAAATTCAAACAAGAGAAGGCACTGTACTATCCTAAAAAAGATATACACACTTGTTGCCACAGTAGTTGTAAATATGAATATGCAGAAAGAAGGTATTGGAGAAGGCAAGCTCTTTTGAGCCCATGGCACGAAGAACTTCTTGAATTACCAATACAATATACAAAACAACTATTTCCTAACAATGTACAGGTAAATAATAATGTTGTTAGGGACCTCAGATTCAATTACAATTATTCAAAACGAGGTACATTCTGTGGTTTTATGTTATTTTAGTAAGAACATTATTGACAGTACAATTCGACAGATTTAAAAAAGACAAAACTATATATTTCGTGTTTTTCGTATATTTTATCAAACCGTCTTTTTTCTATTAAAGTTTGCAATGTAAACTATACCGCAGGTCTACTGTCAAGATGCACGGTCGTCATGTAGCGTATGGACGGACATGGTAACGCTCTAAATTCGTTTTCACATAATATACTTAACCTCTGTTCATTGCATAAAACTAAGTACTAGTTTTTGCATTAATTCTCGTGTAATAAATCTCAATATTGAATAATAATATTTGGAGAGTCGAGTTCGATTGTGAGAAGTTGGACTCAAACTCAAAGTTAGTGGACTCGGACTGAAAAGATTCGACTTCACCACTTTTTAATTGGGTTATATTTTTAAGTTCAAACTACTCAAAATGCGCCCTTATTAGCACCTATTTGTTTACATTTCTTGTATCTTTATTCTATTTTGCTCTTATTTTTGAGAAGTTAATTGTGCTTGAATGTATAAAATGTTTTGTTTGAGTGATTAACTGACAGGACCTAGTGAAATGCCACCTTTCCAGCTATCCCCAAGAGGTAGTAATACATTAAAATACTTAATTTGTGAAAAAAGCCAAGAAAACTGTGGTTTTTCATAAGAGTATAGGGTGCGTTTACAAAGTCGAGACTAATGAAATCATGGATCAAGGCCCCTTTTTAACTTTCAGTCTGAATTGATAATGCTAAAATAATTCAAAATGGCATACTGATACAAAATGATGTCTGCTCACGATAACTTAGATTTTTTTTATTGCTCTAAATCAGTTCGGTTAGACACGTGGACTATGGTACTTTACGTGTTCATCTGGCTTCCATATACCATAGGTCAACTACTGATACTACAATTTATGTCTTCTATGTTGCAATGATAAAACACAGATAACCTGTAATAAGAACAACGTTTCTGGACTGTGATATGACTGTGCTTCCATGTAGATAAAAACGTAGTCATCATCACTTTGAATTCTTGTTGTCAACAGTTTCACAGCAGATTATGACCTTGATCACATCACAAAGTCCACAACTGTAGAAAGCACTTTAAGGGAGATATCTCTGTGGTTAGTACATGTTTATCGCTTTTAGTAAGCAAGTCTCAACAACGCTGGGTGTCAAAGTTTAGAAACAGATTGATGATAAAAAAAGAACATTATATTACACTTTATTTCTTTGTGCGCATGCGAAGTACTTACAGAATACTATTCACGACACATGCACGTTAGCAGTATCTTGGACTTCGTGAAGAAGCTAGCAGTTGTAGGGGTTTGCCAACTGGCGATATATCAGTTTCGTTGTGGGGCTGATAACTCATTTCTTGTAGTGCTTCACGTTCCACCTAGTGAGACGTGAAGTAGACAAGGTAATAAGCTAACATCAATGCTTTCCACGAGAATGTTGACATTCGAAGAGGTGAATAAGGGAAGAGAAAGAGTAAGTTAACCTTTAACTGATAAACTTGCTCGTATTACCTTCAGTCTTTACTTTACGAATTATCATTTCTAGATACGCTTTGTCTCTGCGTACATTTTTAGGGTGTCCTGAAAGTACTTTCATCTTTAGCTTAGGCCAAGAAGCATTTAAACCGACGATAGTTAATGTTTATACGCACCTTATTGAACCTGGGATCAATTGCTGATAATTTACAACTTTCAGATTTATAGCATAAAGTCAAAACAGAGTTCCTTCCCTTTTGGTTAGAGCAGTCTTTCACTTCAGTCTGTGCTTCATTATCCTTAAAGTTGTTTTAATGTAAAGCTACACAATGGATTGTCTAATCTCTGTCCACTGCGGGGAATCGAACCCCGCATATTAGCACTGTAATTCCGTAAATTATCGCTGATCCACCGGGGGACTGTCTTTATATATTTATCTTTCACCTGCTGATGTGCATCATAACATTTTACTTAGAAATAGCATAACCTTATAAGGCTTAAATGGTATGATGAAAATGTTTATGTCAACTAAACCAACTATTCGTCCTACGAAGTATTTATACTTTTATCATATTTCAGCTTTTTACAGCAGCAAAGATACTTATTATTCATCATAAGAAATTGAATAATTGCTTATTTTATATTTTAGTTATTTATTTTGACGAACTATGTTTGAATTGATGTTTTTCTACAATCTATGCTAATGTTATGTAGCATAAATGAAATTAACACGGCATTGTCCTTTATGGTTGTGTGTTCTACAAATTTCTAATTTTCCTTGTTTGGAGGTAAACTTTAGAATATAATAGTGAATTAATTTTGTAAATAAGAAATATTTATGAAAGTCATAATAACAATTTTTATTTTTCTCTTTCCAGGTTATAAGTTTAATATTCTGTTCAAAATGAGGATTTTCTATCGCAGTGCAAGCCATATTCGTCGTCCAACCTCCAATTTTAGTCGAATCCGGGACCTTGCAAACCGTGCTCTTGTTTTGGTAGTTTACGTTTCGGAGGCAACAGGGATTGGACAGTTTCTCAGATCTCTGTGCACGTGGTTAGCGTTTGTTGTTTTGCTTCCTGCGATAGGCCTTCTGTACATGATAAAACTAGTGTATTTGAAGGCAGTACAGAAACTAATCGAAAAACTTTATCCAGAGGAAAATCTCGAACTTGTTCTTAATTCATCTTTCCGAACATGCGTAGATACATACAATAGTTATGGCATTGTAACACTATTGCTTTTAGCTGATGGTGCGCCATCTATAAAAAACATTCAGAATCAAGTTGCTAAGCAAGTAGAAGATTTAAGTAAACAAGAAGGTAGGGAAAATGCTAAGAGGATAAAAAAGCGACTTGGTGTACGATTAGGATGTTATGTATGGGAAGATTCCGAAAAGTTCAAAATCGAAAATCAAGTTTTCTTAGCATCTGACAAATGGCGTGGGAAATCAATAACTGAAAATGTATTGCAGGACTATCTTAATGACATTGCCCTATATCAATTGCCTTCGAAATATCCACCTTGGCAGATAATTATAGTTCCTTACAAAAAACTTGATAGCTGGTCAAAGTCATACGCAGTTATTGTTCGAGTACATCATCTATTAGCAGACACGGTAACTCTTCGAGATCTTTTCTTATGTCCCAGTAATGATCTTTTTCCCGTAGTGCAAAGACGTAGTACTTTTCCTTACAGATTTCCACAGGAAAGTATTACTACTGTAACGTGGAAAGGTCTCACTTGGAGAAGAATTTTCAATATTATACATTTTTCCTTTCTAGCACCCAGTATTGTACTGTCAGAGCTTTTGTCTTTTCCATCTTTTGCCAAAAGACGTTTTCGTTCTCATGTTTCTTCCACAAAAAAGACTATATCATGGTCAGAAGATATACCTTTGACATTTCTCCAAAGAATAAAATCTAAAGCTGGGGCCACAACTAATGAAGTACTCCTTTCCTGCATAGCAGGAGCCCTAAAACAGTACTTTCAGATGAGAGAAGGAGACGCTCCTGTAGAAGATTTCCCAGCAGTGCTTCCAGTGTACGACTCTCCTGCCGTTAGTTTACAGGAAGAAAAACCTTCTGGTCTTTTAACTGTAATGTTGCCCATAAGTCCCACAGATCCTCTTTCGCGCCTGACTAAGATTCAACGTCGAATGACACGACTGAGACAAAATCTTTACAAGTTTGAGCTCAGTAAGTTACTGTTGCAGTTGGTACCTAAACTGATCCCCCCATTAATTTTGAAACTTGCTGCTCACATCGTAACAAAAAAGTATCCAGTTATTATTAGTAACACCTTCGTTTCGCCATGTTTTGGAACAGTTTGGGGAAGCGACGTTTCGATGATTCATTACTGGCGTCCACCCATGGCTAATACAGGTATGGCTAATAAACGACGACTAGGTTTATTTAACGTTCTAGAAAAATAATACAATCATTAAATATCCTCTTGGCAAATAAAAGAATGTCGTTTCAGTAATTATATAACTCTCAGGTTTGTTCTTGATTAGGTCGAAGCATAACTATCCTAGAAAATGGGTAAATCAACAACATAAGATGGCTAGTCAAGAATATTTTCTTTTTGGTGTTTAGATAGAAACTAATACTAAAATTATTGGTTTTGTTATTTAATTATTCGTTGATTATGGTAAACCATTTATTGATAAATAATGACTATTCACTTATTTGTTAATTATTCATTCAAAATATTTTATAGGGCTCTCGTTGTCAGTTATGCACTATGCTGATAGAGTGGCACTTGCCGTCATGGCTAATTCCAGCGCCCTCCAACGGCCTGACATTTTAGCTTCCTGCTTTGTGAAAGAAATTAACACTATTGCAGTAGCTCTGGATGTTCGACGAGATAGAAGACTATCTCCATCACCTTCTTCTGTTATTCAAAGTTATTGATAATAAGTATTTAAAAAATAAAGATACATTTACAAACAGTAGGTTGTGTTGACCTGACATTTTTAAAACTTTTAGCCCCATTTAAAAGAACAAAATTCAGTATTCTTATAAGAAAAAATTATGCCTTCTGATAGTTTTATCAATTGTTAAAACATAATGTCTCCCTGTTTTAATGTTGTCGTTCATGACTGAACCAGTCACGTGGCCTACATAAATGTGGACAGCGAGGATGAAGAGAAATGCACGTTATTTAATGTTCGACTCCTGTAATTTAGTGTGTGTGTGTGTGTTCTGGTGTAGAAGAAAAGCGAGTTTTGCGAAATGCTTGCATAAATATAAGGTATTTTAGTTTCTATATGATACTCATCGAAGGAAAATATTGTGATTTATAATAATATTTTCTTTTTTCACCTGTACTTCAGCATATTTATATATTTATAACTATTAGCTGTACAAACAGATTGTTGTGACATTTGTCGATTTTTTTCTTCTGATTGCTATAATCATAAACATGAAAAAGTAATGTTAGATTTTAATGCACCTGTAACTAAGTTGTGTTGAATATGTTAACGTTATTTTATTCTTCAGAGTAATTGTTATAGCCTAAGTTGTTTTTTATATATTATATTATCAATACCATCTAGCGGTCGAGATACTGATGAGAATAATAAAAAAGTAAATATGTCCATTAAGTAGAAAAGCACATAAAACCCAATGACACTCAGCAATCTCTATTCATTTGTGAATTACAACAATTTTATGAAGTGTGAAAGAACGTATAATTTTTAGTAGTACAGTTTCTTATTTTTTAACACTAATTCAAGCGAGTAAGTTGACGTTGTAATTGTAGTTTTCATGATCAAATTGAAAGGTGTTAAATCACTGTGTTCGATGTTTTCTTTGTTTTTGTATCTGTGTTAAAAATAAATATTAAATGGATATTTTTAGATGTTTGACAATATTTTCCCGTAAAATGTTTGTATAACTAATTTTAACTGTATAATAAGTACAGTTGTTCATTTTTAAAGGGCAGGGGTTTATCTAAATCTGTTGTGTAGCCATAAAAAAATTAACCATTCATATGCCGAGCTACCTTCGCCAACAGTATATAATATAAACGTACATCGTATGTAAATCATAATATTTGTAGTTTAATTATATCTAAAATACGTAATAAAGATAAATATGTATAATCTGACTTACTGTCGTTTTACATTGAATTATAAAATAGTGAAGGCTTAAATCGTTGATTTTTAAACCTATGTGACTTATCACGTTCTGTACGTTAATTAATAAGTATAGCCTGGTTTTTAACACATGAACATCTGGAAGCGAGAGTTTGTCATTCTGTTGATTTTCAACAGTAAACTTTAAATTGGGTTGTTTACTACTGATGACATTGTTACGACTACACCTGTCTTTTTATCCAAAATATTTATTTTCTGGGTTGTTTATTTTTATAAGTTACAGCTGTTATAGTAGGTTTTGATGAAAATATTTTTTATTTAGTTTGTTTGTTTGTAATTAAGCACAAAGCTACACAATGGGCTATATGTGCTCTCCCTACCACGGGTATCGAAACCAGGATTCTGGCGTTGTAGGTCCGCAGACATACCGCTGTGCCACTGGGGGCTATTTAGACAGATACGACGTTTCCATCGCTGGTGCTATCAATATCGATTTCAATCCAATCCAATCGTGGTAAGTCTTTAGGTTTAGTAACCCAGGGATGGTCAGAAATTAAAGTTATTTCTCTTCGCTTTTTTCTTGACCTGTATATCATTTTAGAGATTGTGGTGGTTAAAGTTCGGGGAATCAGCTATAACTTCCGTGGAATTTTGATTATGCTTTGATGACTTGCCCAAGTCAAGCGAGAGGAAAGGCTGAGAAGAAGACACATCAATTTCAAATACACATGTTCTAACTTTAAAGAAGGTTTTTGTGTTGTAAACGCGTAGTTCTCTCGCTGGCGAGGCCCTCTCATGGAAAAGCGGTAAGTTTACGGACTTACAATGCTAAAATCTGGGGTTCGATTCACCACAGTGAATACAATATATAACCTAATGTGGTTTTGCTTAAAAAACAAACAATTTCGCTGGTGGGTACTTTTACATTATCTGGTGAACATAATTCAACTTCCAGCCCATGTAAGGATAATAACTTACTTTATTTCCTCATTTCTGTTTTCTACAAATTTGAAGAATTGTACACTGCTACGTTACATTTGACGTTAACTAATATTGAACAAACCAACTAACTTGCTCATAGTAACCGCAATAGCTAACACATTGACTGGTTCACTCTCTATCTTGAAACAAAACTATTCCCACTTCTTTTTGGCCTAAGTCATGAAGGTCTCTGGAGAAGATATCTTGATATTCCGTGAGCAAGTTATGTAATATGCGGTATTAATCAGCTCTGGTTATACAACTCTTGTGAGGCGAAAGGCTGTCCTTATGTGAGGATTTGACATCAGACTCCCAACATCTTGCCTCAAAGGTTATTACCTCAGATGTTCTTTGACGTAGAAGTATTAACATTACAGCTTCACATCTTGGAATTTTTCAATTGAACAATGTTTTGAATTAGCCAGCTAGGCTATGGAACTGTTTTTAATAGTGACATGGATGGATTAGCTCAGGAAGGTCCTTTAATAATATGTGGTAGAGCAGTAGTAGTAATAGATGTAGACCAAATATGTTCTATTCAGTGTCTAGTAGAAAATGATGTCTTAGGTTGGGATTCTTGAGCAGATGCAAAAAGAGGTGTGGTTGGTTTAATCTTTGCATTCAATAATTCGTTTTCCAGATAATGTATTCTGTCACTGATGTTCTTTTCTACCTAAATGATATCTATCTTACACATCTTAAATTATGTCGTTACAGCATTTATGTACTTCGTTAATGTCTTTCTCTACTTCTTCATTGTGTTATTACAATATTTATGCACTTTTTTAATCTTGTTGTAGTAATCCCTGTGAACATCTCCAATAGTTTCATTAATCTTGTCTTCAGTTGGATTTATTCTTTTATAAATTTTTCTTTAAATATTATGTCTATATTCTAGCTCCTCTCTTAAACTCCTGTCTTTCTCTTCTTGTATTATTTTAATTTTCTATAACATTCTTCTTGAAAGGGTTTTAATTGTTTCTCCATCTCTAGTAAAATTTCTATCTCGTTTATTAACGTGTTGTAATCTTGAAATACTATCAAAGCTTTATTGTATTTCAACAAAGCAATTCCACTTCTAACATCAGTCTACGTAATGATAACAAATTAATTTATTATAGTTTGATAGAGCCGCTACTTTAAAGCATAAATTATGCAACAAAGTTTAGGTCTAACTTCAAAAATAACATTTCAATGTAAACTGTGAGACGTAACCCAGTAACTCGCCGAATACACGGGATAACTCTCACTAATAATAGTGAATAATTTTTCTAACACAGAAGTCACAGAGTGACACTGAACTCATACTTTATTATACCTTTCTTTCTACATGTTACACAAACATCCTTGTTTTTTAACTTTCATAAATTTTCCAGATCCCAAAGTCATCATAATCACGAGCAAACAATTAATTTCTAGCATTGAAAATATAGCTTACAACATTAGTTTTTCACATCTCTGATTTTGAATAGGAAAAAGGCAAATTAAAAGGAATGTGGGAAAAAACATCTGCACCTTATGCAACTTTCATCATAAATTTTAGGTCTACTCATTTCTAAAGCTTCTCCAGCTTTCAGCGTATAAAAACAATAACGACTGATATAGTCTGAAAACAACCCAAGCTGCAAGAACATTTCTTAGGAGACAACAATAACAACTTTTGCACATACATAACTTCTTGTCATTTCAATTACTTTTGGCATCGTATTTAGCAACATTTTTTATTGTTTGTTATTAAGTTTATCTTTTAGATATCATGATTTTAACTATTTTGTTGGTATTGTAAGGATGTTTCCTAATTATTTATTTGTAGAAATTAAAATGTTAATTATCCCATATTCAGTTATCATTATTAGCTGCAATGTTTATTAACATATTTATTATTCACCGAATATATTGAATGTGAATCTTTTATCAGGTTGGAAAATAATATGATACAATAAGAACAATAAAACAGTTGAACTATCTTGGAAATTTTCCTTAACTTTTAGAGTTATACTGTCGTCCAAATGTTTTTGATATCTACTCATTTTTGTGATGCGATTTTGTCATATACAGTTTATATAGGTATAGAAATGTGAATAAGAGTTAAATCAATTAACAGTATCCAAAATAAGACTTTTCATTCATCTGCTTATTACTTTCACTACCCCTAACCAGAAAGTAATCTGAGATCAATAGGACAACATATTCTTTGAAGTACCAAACCGAGTAATAGTAGTTTTAATGTTAAAAGCAAATTATTTTAAGTTTTGGAATTACAACTTTTGCATCAGCAAGCTCTGGATCGGGCGTGACCCAATGATTAGTGTGCCTGGGCTGTGAATCCAAAGATTCACAGTTTGCAACTCGTTGCCACAAAACCATGCTTCAAATGTTGTGGTTGTGTGTACATTATAAAAGTGATGATCAAATTTCACTGTTGAATGAGACAAGAGTTGCTCAAAAGTTGTTGGTAGCTGATGATCGCTAGCTGCCTTCCTTTAATCTATCAGTTCAAAGTTATCGATAGCTATGCACAGAACGTTTTGTGTAGCTTTGCATAAAATTCTGAAATAAACAAATCAGCAATTTATCTCAATTACAGAGGGTTGAGTACGTTCTATTAAAATAATTTTGAGTATGCAACTCAGAAAGTCTCATTTCAATCACAACTAATATAAAGTATCAATCTAACAGCATGTACCGCAACTCAGTTTTGACATTGTTTGATGTTATATAATAAAGGTGCTTCCAACGAAAAAACGATTATTTTTGAAAAAGGCATGTAATAGCCCATTCCGACATAAAATATTCAAACTCACAAATCATAACTATATGTTCAGAATGGGGATTTAGAGGTTTCAAGTTAGGAATATCCCTTGCATTAAATGGCATTTGAAAATAAAGGACTATGGCTCAACAAGGGGAATTAAAAAGGCCATCGAGAGAGAGACCTGCAACAATTCATACCTAGCTATGTGACATTTTTAAAGGTAAATGTTCCACGAACACAAAGGTTGGTGGCGAAAGCCGTCTACATGTTCCAGGCATCGGTACCCAACATAATCTAAAAGGATCCCCACGTTCAAAAGTTACACTAGTCGCGTGTTCACCAGCTGCTTCCACAGCATATCTGCTCAACTGTTGTATATCTCTCGAAATTGGAAAATTAATCATGTTATACCATGTAAAGAAATAAAGGTCAATTTGCTGAATGCAGTGCCAATAGATTTCTGTGCGATCACTGTTGAAATGGATGCTAAAAAAGTTATCTACGTACACAATATGGATCATGGAAAGCTTGTAGATAGGAGTGGTGTGCTTCTAACATGACAACCTTAAAACAGGGTCTGTTGCAATGAAAACTACACTCCTGTATATCTCACGAAATTGGAAAAGCGTATGGTCATCAGGTGGAGCATGACCGAATGTGACAACATATATTTTAACAATTCTTTGAGACTCCAAAATCATTTTAATATAATGTACTCAGTCAGTATCTATAATCAACATTTTGTGACAACCAATTATATTCGCATACAATGATGTATTTTTCTTTGTGTTGTTAAGCATAAAACTGTACAGTAACTAATATTAGCTGTGCCACCACAGTGATTGGACCCCATATTTTAGAATTATAAAAAAATAATAGATCGAAGCCACCACTTAGGAAGGAATTTAATTCTTTAATTTCTGTAAGAGAATTCCTTCATGTTACATGGAGTGTCAAAATTCTAAGAAAATGTATCTGAGAATTATTGTAAAATTGCTTTACAGGTGTGGTAAGAAAGCACTCAAGTATCATGTTTCATTCTTTTATTAACTCATAAAGGTAAACGTTTATTTTATTTTTGGAAATTACAAAAAATTTCAGATATAAGTATATACTTTTGTAGTGGATGCGAACTTTCACGTATGGGAAGTCTACCTTGTATTGTAGTGACCTTATTTCATGTGCTAGTCAGGAAACGTGACCTACATAGATATTTAAGGATTTTTTCTGGTTATTGTTGTTGGAGACTTAGTTTTCATATTGTCTATATTGTCT